TTTTTTGTGAGTTGGAGTCTCACTCTGTCACCCAGACTGGAGTGCAGTGGCCGCTCCCGGCCACCGCAGCCTCGACCTGCTGGGCTCCGGTGATCCTTCCGCCTCAGCCTTCCAAGTAGCCAGAACTATAGGCACGCGCTACCAACGCCCAGCTGATTTTTTGATTTATTGTAGAGATGAGGTCTCGCCTGCCCAGGCGGGTCTCGAACCTGCGGGCTCAGGCAATCCACTCACCTCAGCCTCCCAAAGGCGCAGGATTACAGGCTGAGCCACCAAGCCCGGCTGTCTGCTAACTTTCTAATAATTATTTGTAGAGACAGGGTCCCATTATGTTGCCCAGGCTGGTCTCAAACTCCTGGGCTCAAGCAGTCCTCCAACTTTGCTTCCCAAAGTGCTGGGATTTCAGGCATGAGCCACTGCTCCTGGCCTTGGATGTTATTTTTTTCACTTAATGATAATCTCTGAGTTACTTGATATAGTTTAACTTAACCTTGTTTGGGTTTTTTGTTGTTGTTGTTTTTTGAGTCGGAGTCTCTCTCTGTCACCCAGTTGGAGTGCAGTGGCATGCTCACAGCCATTGCAGCCTTGACTTGCTGGGCTTAGGCTATCCTTCCGCCTTAGCCTTCCAAGTAGCTAGAATCTTGTTCTTTTGAGTAAATACATAGTGTTCTGTAGAACACCCTGGGGGGAGTCCTGATACTACAATGAACGGTGTGTGTGTGTGTTTATACATGTGTGCACTCATCTACTAGCCCTACTTCTTTAGGACAAGCTTCCTGAAAGCAGGGAAATACAAGCTTCTTGTTTGCCTCACACTTCCTTGTCTCTTCCTAGGGCTGAGCGTGTTTCCTTGCGTTTACTGACCATTTGTGAAATTTTTTCTTAGATTAGAAAATATGGTTTATTTAGAAAGTAAATTAGAAAGAAAGAGGAGGTTGACCTCCCCAAGGTAAGGTAGGGAACCAAAGCCGGGAAATATGGCCTGGCCATGCTCAAAGAGACCAGGGTCACACCATAGATCAGCAAGGCAATGGCCCCATTTGTGAATATCTTGTAGTTCTTTTTCTGTTGGGTTTTATCTTTTCCTTGTTGTTATATGGGAGCACTTTGTACAGTAAAGAAATTATTTTGGAAATTCTAGCTAACGAAGTAAAACAAGAAAATCAAGGAAATGAGCAGAATCCTTATGTTGCCGGGTGAGGAATTTCATATAAATGTCACTCATTCCAAAATTACCATGGGAAACTAATGCTTTGGGGTATATTTCTGGACAGAAGATTTCCAAGTAGACGACTAAGTGAGAATAGCAAGAACATTTATAAAAAGAACAGTAGCCAGGCACAGTGGCTCAAGCCTGTAATCCCAGCACTTTGGGAGGCTGAGGCGAGAGGATTGCCTGAGCCCAGGGGATCGAGACCAGCCTGACCTTGTGACCCCGTCTCTACAATAAATCAGAAACATTAGCCAGGCAATGGTAGCACGTGCCTGTAGTTCCAGCTACTTGAAAGGCTGAGAAGGATTGCCTGAGCCCAGCAGGTTGAGGCTGCAGTGGCTGTGAGCATGCCATTGCACTCCAACCTGGGCAACAGAGTGAAACTCCAACTCAAAAAAAATAAAAAACAGTAGTTATGGGTATTTGCCTTACTCAATAGTAAAACTTGACATGAAGATACAACATTATAGAACTGACATGACAGTAAATGACATGAGGTCCAAACTGAGTCTAAGTATATATGTGAGCATAACAGATGTCTGATGTGACCTTTCATTTCAGAGGGAAGGGGATGGTTTATTTAGATAAATGACTCTGGCATCACTGACTTTTCTTCTGCAGTAAAACAGCTAGATCCTACCTCATGCCATGTAACTAAAATAAATTCCAGTTAGAGCAAAGGCTTGAATATAAAAGTGAATAAACGTCAAAGGAATATTTATCACAAATGTGTGCAGTTACGTGTGTTGGAGGTTCTGTTGCATGCGCGTACCTCCATTGTCATTGTACTTCGGCAACATTCTCAAATTTCAGATACCACTTTAAAATGGTACTGCACTATCAGACGACAACCATGCTTCCACCATTTTGTTTGTCCTACCTGTTGCATGGTGACGCTGGCATTCATTTGATTAATGCCATCTCTTGAGCGGACGTCATACTACACATTGCTCCCGTAATTCAATTCAGCTTCGAAAAGTAATACATAGATCTCTTAAAATATGTATGCGGGGTTTTTTGTTTTTGTTTTTGGCACCCTGGTATAAAGAACCAAAGTTGAATAACACTCACCAAGATTAAATTGCTGTAGACTGATTCTCTACTTTCAAAGATGCTGTTTACTTCTGGATTTGTGAGCCTTCGTATGTTCCGAAGGCCGGATCCTTCCCATATTTTGGGGGGTCTTGAGCACCCTAAGGTTGTCCATTCCCACCTTTTTCTTTATATCTGTATGTTCCTTTAAAAGTTTAACATTTTTAGCTCAGCGGTGAGTACATGCTACAGAATGGCCACTGGAAGATCCATGAGAAATGTCCTTTTGTTTTCAGAGAGTTCTGGAAGAGAATCAAGAACATTATCACACAGTTCAAAAATTCCTTATCCTGGGAAACATTGATGGTAAGATACAGTTTTATTTTATGAGGTCCTTTTTTTAAACAGGAGTCTTACTCTTGCCCAGGCTGGAGTGCAGGGGCACGATCGTGATGATCACAGTGCATGGCAGTCTCTCAACCTCCTGGGCTCTGGCCACCTCAGCCTCTCCTGTAGCTGGGACTATGAAGTGTGCTCCACCTTGTCTGGCAACTTTTTTTAATTTTGAGTTGGGGTCTCACTCTGTAACCCAGACTGAAGTGCAGTGGCACACTCATGGCCACCTCAGCCTCGACATGCTGGGCCTAGGTGATCCTTCCACCTCTCTGCTTTCCAAGTGGATGGAACCACAGGTGCATGCCTCCACACCTAGCTAATTTTTTGACTTACTGTAGAGATGAGGTCTCGTCAAGTTGCCCAGTCTGATCTCAAACCCATGGGCTCAGGCAGTCCCCATGCCTCTGCCTCCCAAAGTGCTGGGATTATAGGTGTGAACCATTGCACCTGGCATCCGGCTGATTTTGATTTGATTTTTTTGTAGAGATGTGGACGTGGTTTTGCTATGTTGCCCAGGCTGGTCTCAATTTCCTGGGCTCAAGCAATTTGACCACCTTGGCCTCCCAAAGTGCTGGGATTACAGATGTGAGCCACCACACCCAGCTTTTTCATTTCCTTATAGTGGATTTTATAAAAGTTCTCAAAACAAAGCATGTGTGTGTTGGTTATTTGAAAGCAGCACTTTCCTTGTTCTGTATAATCCCATCTGAGTGTAAGCAGTCTCTGAGGGCATGAGTATCATGTGAGCCTGTGAAGGAGACAGGCCTGGAAAGCCTGTGGGAGGAGATGGCATCCGTATCTCTCCCAAGTATGTTCTGGTGCTCATCTGTCTTGCGGACTACAGGTCTGATGGAGGAGTTCAGCACGTGGCTTTGCAGAGGCAGGGGCAGCCTCCCCGGACACCTGCTGCGCTTCATGGCCCACCTTGTCCTGTTCTTCCGCACCCTGGGACTGCAGACCAAGGTCAGTGTCCTGCACCGTGGGCCCTCCTCTGTAAACAACCGTATGCATCTCTCATCAAGACTGCAGTCTCTCGTGTCATTTTCTAGACACAGTGATAAGGATACAGGAGTCCTCATGTTGTCGTGTGTGGTCGGTCAGGCGATGGGATCTCACTGTGAGCTTTAGGGCTCTAGGCGGTTGCATATCCAGTTGTTAATAAGTTTGTAACTTCATCCTCATCGGCACCCAATTCAAATCAATCACCTAAGTCTCACTGCAGACTAGGTTTTTTGTGTATTGATAGATTGATTGGGTTGGAGTCATAGTCTGTCGCCCAGGCTGGAGTGAATGGCATGCTCGCAGCCACCACAGCCTCCACCTGCTGGGCTCAGGCGGTCCTTCCGCCTCAACCTTCCAAGTAGCTGGAACTTAAGGCGTGTGCCACCACGCCGAGCTAATTTTTTAATTATTGTGGAGCTGAGGTCTTGAAATGTTGTCCAGGCTGATCACTAACCTACAGGCTCAGGCAGTCCTCTCGCCTCTGCATCCCAAAGTGCTGGGATTACAGGCGTGAGCCATCACGCCCAGGCGTTTTGTTTTTGTTTTTTAAACAGATATGCCCTTGCTATGTTGCTCAGACTGGTCTCAAACTTCTGGACTCAAACAATACTCCTGCCTCAGCCTCCCTAAGTACTGGGTTATAGGCACACTGGATTATAGGCATGAGCCTCTGTCCCCAGCCAAGGATCCGACTAAGTTTTGTGTGAGATTCTAAACCCTTGGATTTTTTTTTTCTTTTTTTGGTTTCTTTCTTTTTGCACAGAAATGTGTCTTACTGGCTGAGTGCGGTAGTTCACGCCTATAAATCCCAGCACTTTAGGAGGCTGAGGTGAGAGGATTGCCTGAGCGCACAGGTTCAGGACCAGCCTGGGCAACTTGGCAAGACCTCATCTCCATAATAAATCAAGAAAAATTAGCTGGGCATGATGGTGCATTCCTGTTGTTCTAACTACTTGGAAAGCTGTGGCAGAAAGATCGCCTGAGCCCAGCAGGTCAAGACTGTGGTAGCCGTGAGTGTGCCCACTGCACTCCAGCCTGGGCGACAGACTGAGACTCTGACTCAAAAAAAAAGAAATGGGCCTTACTATGTTGCCAAGGCTGGTCTTGAATGCCTGGGCTCAAGCATTCCTCACACCTCAGCCTCCCAAAGTGCTGGGATTACAGGCATGAGCCATGATGCCTGACCTGTCTTTTTTTTCTAAATGTTTGAGAACATTTTGGTCAGATACATGTGGAAGGTGAGGGGTGCAGCAGTTGAGAACTTGGGCTTCGGGGTAAGGGTCTCGAGTTTATACCCTTGCTTGGCAGGTTCTCACTATGTACTTCTGGGTAAATAAAACTTCTTTGGATCTCAGTTTCTTCTTCTGGAGTATGTGAACAATAACAGAAATGACCTGGCCGGGCTCGGTGGCTCAGCCTGTAATCCCGCGCTTTGGGAGGCCGAGGTGAGTGGATTTCCTGAACCCGCGGGTTCGAGACCCACCTGAGCAACTTGGCGAGACCTCATCTCTACAATAAATCAAAAATTAGCCAGGCGTGGTAGCATGTGCCTGTAGTTCCAGCTACTTGGAAGGCTGAGGCGGAAGGATCGCCAGAGCCTAGCAGGTCGAGGCTGCGGTGGCCAGGAGCGTGCCAGTCTGGGCGACAGAGTGAAACTCCAACTCAAAAAAAAAAAAAGAAAGAAGCCGGGCTCTGTGGCTAAGCCTGTAATCCCGCACCTTTGGGAGGCTGAGGTGAATGGATTGCCTGAGCCCTAGGGTTCGAGACCCGCCTGGGCAGCGAGACCTCATCTCTACAATAAATCAAAAAATCAGCTGGGCGTGGTAGTGCGCGCCTGTAATTCCAGCTACTCGGAAGGCTGAGGCGGAAGGATCGCCGGAGCCCAGCAGGTCGAGGCTGCGGTGGCCGGGAGCGGCCACTGCACTCCAGTCTGGGCGACAGAGTGAGACTCCAACTGAAAAAAAAGAAAGAAATGACCTGCAGAGAGTGACGGCAAGGTTAAACAGGTAGCAGCAGGTTTTCTTTGCTTAGCACCCAGTCTGATTTATAGGTTTTGCTGAGTGGTAAATATTAAAATTGTTATTTAACAGCAGAATTTGTATTAAAAATTTGGTTATTCATATGAGCAATTGTGTTTATAATTATGTCTTTTTTTCCTACGAAGGAAGAAGTTTCTGTTCAAGTTTTAAAGACGTACATACAGGTAAACTTCAAGAATCTACAACTTGATTCTTTTTGACTGTTCTAACAAAAACGAAAGTCAGAATTACTCAGCCTTAATTTTCAGTGGCAGAAAAGCCATCAGAGCCCATGACTCCTTCATTATAAGCACACTGGGACCTTGAGCAGTGCAGGGCGAAGGACAACAGCCCCTGTGTGGTTGCCAATTCATGTGTCACTTTTGACACCCCAGAAACATAACTGCTGATAGACTGCTGTGGATTGGAAGCCTCACCAAGAACACAAACAGCTAATTAACACGCATGTTGTTTGTCACATGTGTGAAACAGTCATCCCTCAGTGCACTCGGGGCTGTTCCAGGAACCATGTGACACAAAAGCCGGGTACCCTCGAGTCCCAGAGTCGGCCCTGCAGACTCTGTGTGTGTGAAATCGGCCTTCCATTCACACGTTTCACATGGTTCAAATGTGCGTTCCAGGGTCCCCTGCAGTATATTCTCACAAGTAAGTCAGCTAGACCAAAGAAAATGTTACTGAGAAAATCCTGAGGCAGAGAACACACATTACAGCACCATCCTGTGCATGTGAATGCTGGGAGTGTATGTGGTCTGTTGGCAACATGACCATCTGTCCACAGCTGCAGACCTCAGTCCACAGGTCAGCGGTCCAGCTTTTCCTTATAATGGGGGACTTTTCTCTGCTTGACAAGGGCACTGCCCGCATTGCTAGTGGTATTTTCTGTGGGTCCTAGGGTGTTCTTTGGGGTTTACGGTATTGTAGTAAACATGATGAGATATACAAGACCCGCGAAAGACTCCATGCATGCAGCCGCAGTGGAGAGATGCCTGCTCATGGGATGACATGCACCACAGGCGTCCTAATGGACACTCACAGTGCCTGATCCCTCTGTGAGTGGGAAGCTGAAATCATGGCCAGTGCATTGTGTCCCTCAGTGAGTGTGTACGTTACAAGTCGACACCACAACTCATGTGTGGTACACATCCTCGGGGTGGCGCCACTTGGGGTCTGTGTGTGCGCGTGTGTAAGTTTTGATACATTTTAATATTTTATTAGGTTCATGTATAGTTTATGGGAGTAATGATAAAATAGGCTTGTGTCTTCATATATTTTATGCATTCATGACGTACTTTCTCTCAATTTTTTCAGTATTTCTAGGCTACACAGTTGATGTGTAAATTTTTTCATATTGTTGTAGATTTCCCCACATTTTCCCAGTGTATTTATTTTTCTAAAAATTCTATGTCCCACACAATTTGAACCTGGGCTCTGCAAGGGTCAACTGTACATTTTTTTGGAATGTAAAATTATTCTGAAGAGCAACACAAACCCATGTCTGAATGAATCCTGAATACATCTAAAATTTTGAAGTGCACATCCACTTTTTACTGCTGATATCCTTTGCTTTCTTTCTGTTCTAGCTTCTAATAAATGAGAAACATACAGACCTCATCGCGTTTTATACCTGCCATCTGCCTCAAGACCTCGCCGTTGCCCAGTATGCACAGTTTCTGGAAAGCGTCACGGAGTTTGAGCAGCGCCACCACTGCCTGGAGCTGGCACGAGAGGCAGGTGAGCCCGGCCGAGATGGCGTCAGTGGCCTCATAAGCAGCTTTTCAGCAACATTACAGACTGCAGTGACACCTGTCCTCACAGTGTTTAGTCTTCTCTAGAGAAGGAAAAAAAGAGGAGTACAGTTTTCAGTGAAGTTGCCTTAGGAATAAAATAAGTTTGACGGTAACCTATGTGTAGAGCATCTAACTTTGGCACCGTTCAGTGTCTGTCCTGTATTATATGCTGTGTGTGTGTGTGTGTGTGTGTATTTTAATGTATTTATTTATTTTGGGTTTTTTTTTTTTTTTGAGTTGGAGTCTCACTCCATCGTCCAGGCTAGAGTGCAGTGGCATGCTCACGGCCACCGCAGCCTCAACCTGCTGGGCTCAAACAGTCCTTCTGCCTCAGCCTTCCAAGTAGCTGGAACTGCAGGCATGTGCCACCATGCCCAGCTAATTTTTTGATTTATTGTAGAGATGAGGTCTCACCCAGTTGCCCAGGCTGGTCTCAAACCCACCAACCCAGGCAGTCCTATCACCTTTTGATTTATTGTAGAGATGAGGTCTCACCAGGTTGCCCAGGCTGGTCTCAAACCCACTGACCCAGGCAGTCCTGTCACCTCAGCCTCCCAAAGTGCTAGAATTATAGGCGTTGAGCCACTATGTCTGGCTGGCATGCTATATTTTTAAATAATGACTGTTCCGAATTCTCCAAATCATTGTGATTATTTAGAGAATATGGGTGTCGATAATTAATCTTTGCTTTTTTTCTCTTCAAAAAACTCTTCAGATTTGGATGTTGCAACAATAACAAAAACTGTAGTTGAGAATATTCGAAAGCAAGATAATGGTGACTTCAGCCATCATGACCTGGTTTCAGCCCTGGATACCGGCACCACTGAGGTGACTTGGGACAGGGGCAGAGGTGTTATTTTTTTACTTATTTTTTAGAGACAAATACAGGGTCTGGCTCTGTGGTCCAGGTTGGAATGCAGTGGTTCGATCACAGCTCACTGTAACCTTGACCTCCTGGCTTCAAGCAATCCTCCTGCCTCAGCCTCCCAAAGTGCTAGGATGACAGGTGTGAGCCACTGCACCCAGCTGGGTTATTTTAGATACGTGATGAATTGCTCAATCTTATGTAGCTTGCTCACTTCCTGCTATCCAAAAGGAATAGAAAGCTGTGTCTAAGAGAACAATTTTAGAACAGCACTTAGAGGAATCACATGGTTAAGCTGGGGATGTATATAACATAGAATTCCAGGGCCATATAGTCCAGCACATTGTTTCTGTTAGAGAGCTGTTAAATCAGTAAATAACCTAAGTTAGATCTTTCCATCATTTTGTGTAATATGAGGGAAAATGATGATTGCTGCAAATGCATACATACATTTTTTTCACCCCCACCTTCTCTACCTTCACTTCCTGATGTAAGTTAAGTCTAGTAATTTGCAGACCATCTTAGGAAAAAACAAAACTAGCACTTCTTTTGTCTGTCTCCTCCTGGAATGCATAGGAGGACCGTTTAAAGATCGACGTGATTGACTGGCTGGTGTTTGACCCTGCACAGAGGGCAGAAGCCCTGAAACAAGGCAATGCAATCATGAGAAGGTTCCTGGGTAGGCTTTGTTTCTGTACTTTTTTATTAAGTTTTCTTTTAGATCCAAGTTTTTTTGTTTGTTTGGTTGGTTGGTTTTGTTTTGTTTCGTTTTGTTTTTTTATGAGTAGGAGTGAGACCACTCTGTCGCCCAGGCTGGAGTGCAGTGGCATACTCACGGCCATCCCAAAGTCGACCTGCTGGGTTCCCGCGATTCTTCCACCTCCGCCTTCCAAGGAGCTGGAACTACAGGCGTGTGCTACCATGCCCGGCTAATTTTTGATGTGTTGTAGAGACAAGGTCTCACCAAGTTGCCTAGGCTGGTCTCGAACCTGCGGGCTCAAGCAGTCCACTTGCCTCGCCCTCCCAAAGTGCTGGTATTACAGGCTGAGCCACCGAGCCTGGCCCATGTATTCTTGAATTTGGTTTATTGGGTTTTTGCCTTTTCCACTCGGGGGTAGAAAACCAGCCACTCTTATGTATCAAACCTGGTATTAAGAAAGAAAACGTGTTTGCCTGTGAGTTGTTATTGTCCTGATCAAGTTTGCCTTCAGCCTCAGTCGCTCTCTGTAAGATGCAGAAGCATGTAAAGTACCTGCGTCTAGTGGCTTCTGCTGTGTTACCGTCACACTGAGGTCGGGAGAGAGCCAGTCCCCCAGGCAGAAAGACCACCAAGATTTTTAACAGACGTGGCTTCAGACCTGGAACGCAACACCCGCTGAGCATGGCATGAAGCCACTCCACAAGCACCGACAGGTGTTGACAAGTGTGCATCCTTCTTCACAGCATCCAAGAAGCACGAAGCTGCAAAGGAGGTGTTCGTGAAAATCCCTCAGGATTCCATCGCTGAGATCTACAGTCAGTGGGAGGAGCAAGGGCTAGAGAGCCCACTTCCTGCCGAGGACGACAACGCCATCCGCGAGCACCTGTGCATCCGAGCCTACCTGGTGAGGTGTCGGGCGCTTTTCTGAGGAGTCGGAGTTTTTGGCAAAAGTGGCATCGACTCGCCCCTCCCTTGAGCCTGCAGTGCTGACTGCTCCTGGGTGGAATCGTGACGCGTGTCCACGGGCATGGCCTCATCACAGGAGAGGGGTGTGGGCGGCTGGGACCTGAGTTTTCTCTAGACTCTGTGAATGCTGGTCTCAGAATCCATTCAGTCAATAACCAGGTGGCGACAGGGGTCAGGCAGTGTGGCCCGCCATGGGTAGCATCCTGTCCTTGCCCTCCTGAACCTCCTCACCAGTCAGGAAGGCAGGAGGTGTGCGTGCATCACAGGGTGACCCATGTCGATTCCATTCCTGGTCCGGTGCTCCCCCTGGAGTTGGTGCCGGGATGCCTCAATACATGCGCCATCCCGGTCTGCTTGGCAAAACGGTCCCTCACAGTAGGGCTTTTTGTATGCAAAAATAAGTATTCAACAGTTTAATTTCTTGATGCTGCAAAATTATTTCTGAGAACCAAATCTTTGAAAGTTGTGTGAAATGACAAAAGTGAAAACTTCCTTTTATGTGTTTTTTTCTTACATTGCAGGAAGCCCACGAGACCTTTAATGAGTGGTTCAAGCATATGAATTCAGCTCCGCAGAAACCGACCGTGGTTCCTCAGGCGACTTTCACTGAGAAGGTCGCTCACGAGCACAAGGAGAGGAAGTATGAGGTGAGCCGCCATGGACTGGGCGGGCGACTGCGCGGGAGGCTGCTCTGCGCGTTTGGATGGCACTGTCTCCACGCTGCTGCCTGGGACACATCGGCCGTCCTCCTGTTAACGCTGAACTTGGAGAAGTTTGGTCTGTGTGTAGGATATCACCCCAGCATGAAAACTGCCTCCAGGGGACATTAGCATGCGTTTATAATGTCAACCCTGTGGTGTTTGGTTTAGCTGCAGTCTTTTGATGTTGCTTTTAGGCTTGGCAGACCGAAACATCAGCTCTTTAGAGTGATGTCTGCAGATGTGTTTCTGTCTGTGCTTTGTAAACGTTATTTATTGGCTTTTGTCCCTTAGGTGTCTGCCTTGTTTTTGTTTTACAGATGGATTATGGTATTTGGAAAGGGCATTTGGATGCCCTCACCGCCGACGTCAAGGAAAAAATGTATAACGTCCTGTTGTTTGTCGATGGAGGGTGGATGGTAGATGTTAGAGAGGTAAGCTGTGTGCCTCGTTTGTGGCCAAAAACAAACCAGCAGGCTGGGTATAGGGCTCACACCTGCAGGTCCAGCACTTTGAAAGGTGGAAGGACCACCTGAGCCAGGGGTCCCGGCTATGGTGAGTCATGACCATGCCACTGCACTCCAGCCTGGGTGACAGAAACTCCAAACAAAACCCACCTTGTGTTTTCTTTTTTTTTTTTTTAGTTGGAGTCTCACTTTGTCGCCCAGAT